TAAATGCTTCAAGGCGCCTTTGAACGAGAAAAGTTTTGCTTTTTCTGAGTCTTCTGTCAACTTCTCTCTTTTCTTCATCGCTAAGAAGATCATAATCATCAAGAGTCCATTCGAATGGTTTTAATAATCTTCTCACTGTTTGTGTTTTTATTTTTCTTGCTGGATCTCGAAATTTACAGAAAAAGGGGAATTCTTTGTCTGCTTCATCCATTTCTAATTCTTCTCGCTTAGCTTCTCGACTTCCTGACATTTTTATATAATATAAAAAATATTAAAAAAAAATAAAAAAATGGAAGAAAAGAAAAATTCGGTTCCAATAAGCACAAAAGATTTCAGAGAAATTGCCAAAGGCTGCGGAATAAAATACAGAAACAAGATTTCAAGCAAAGAATTGAAAGAAATGCTCGGCTATTGTCCTTTGAAAAACAAACGGAAGGTTGAAGTGAGTGATGAAACGGGTTTTCGCAAAGAATATCAATCACTCGGAGAAGCCGCCAAAGATTGTGGAATTTCGAATTCTTCCACTATCAAATATGCACTGGATAATCAAAGAAATTTCATCGAAAGAAGATCAGACCAGAAAAAATTATTTGTGAGAGAAATTTGGCAGGATGTCAATAAAAACTGAAACGGAAGATTGTTTTTAATGACGAATTATCATTGAGGGGAAGTAGATTCTTTTCACAGAAAGCGAATGGCACGTGCTTTTTTGTGTGGCGTGAGCGATTACATAAGAGTTTTAAATAAATGACAAATAGGGTTCAAGAACGTACTTTACCAGCTAAAATATTCGTGTGTGAAGAACTACGCTCTCAATTTGCATTCGTGGACAAAATACATTGAATTCAGCTTAAATCAACATCTAGAAGCAAAAATGGCTAGAAACTTTCAAGAACTTCAGCTAATCAAACAGCGCCTTGAAGAAAACAAGACGGCTTTCCCAAGTTTCAAGAAATATTTTGATCGATGTTTTTTGAGCATAAAAAAGAATTTTTCAACCAAGAAGAGGAAAACGATGACGCAGTCGCTGAGAAGAAGAATGAAATTAAACAGAAACTGGAAAGAAGCTTGATGAATTGGCCAAGCGAATGAACAAACCTCTCAAGAACAAGCGTTTGAAAGTGTGGATGCCTTGATCAACTTTCTGGGAAGATTGAAGCGAGGTATTGTTGTTTCACAAAAGCGAATTGTCATTCTATTAGAAAGGTTTGGTGCCTACTAAAGCAATGCTAAGGATCTTTTAGTCGACACTGAATACAACAGGATAGAAGAAGCTTGTGGCTATTCAAAGCGCTATTTCACTTTTTTGATTTGGTTCCACAAACTTTCTCAATCTTACCCAAAGATCAAACGTTCGTCTGAGCCAATACGTACATTTTTGTCGAACAAGAAGATCGCACAAGAGATATGTGAAGAAAATCACGATTTCTGGAGTACTCCTTAAACACGTTTTTTTTTTCATGTGATTGCTTTATGAAGCTGACGTTTAGAGTTTTCTGTTGTGTTGGGAGGCTTGAATTTTAGTCCCGTACAGACTAAAGTGTTTTTAATTGATGAATATTAATTGATTATTGGGAAACGCGTTTCCTAATATAAGTCAAATAATGTATTGGGAAACGCGTTTCCTAATATAAGTCAAATAATGTATTGGGAAACGCGTTTCCTCCAAATGTTAATTCATGATTTTTGTCTTGAAATAAACAAAGAAAACCCACTCGGTCTTTTGTCGAATTCAACTCTCAATTCTTTGCGAGTGTAAGCAGAGAGGCAAATTTTTTTTGGTATTCTTTTTTTATTTCCTCTCTGGGAGTTGCAGTCTCTTCCTCAACTTTCTCTGGAGAATTTCGTGAATTATTTTTTCTGAGTTCTTTTTTCAGAGAATAATATTGATCAATTTCGCTCAGTATCGAAGCGAATTCGACATCTGTTATCGAAGAGTCTTTCAAGGCCTTTGACACGAGTCGGCTGATTGTTCGTTGCTTCGCTTCAGCAAGAGAGACGGTTTTTTCATGTTTTTCAGTCTTTTTCACGAGAGATTTGTTCGCGAGAGTCGTCGCGGCAGACGCTAAAGCAAGCAAACCCGCAATGCTTGTCAAAGGCACAGAAATTATAATTCCCACACCGCTCAAAGCTG